TGAGCACACAGCTGGCTTCGGAGTGGGGACTCTGAGGGAAGGGCAGCGAGAAGGGTGGGCTCCGAGGGGCAGGGGGACGGAGACGAAGGAGAGAGAGGCTGAGCGAAGGCCTGGACGGCCACTGATCGAGACACATGAATGGAGCGCCAGCTTTAAAGGAGGCATCTCAGGTTCACAAAAGTAACTTTCAGTGAGAATGAAATGCCTACCTTTAATAGCTTGTTTTCTTGTTATAACACTTTTACAAAACGCTGGTATAACAATTCCTGATTCTATAAGTTCAATGATTTGAAGAAAATAATTTTAAACCGTTCAACATAAGCACCTGTGGGAATTTATGGAATTTGTCATGGAAAGAAGTTAGCAATTTTATTAGTAGTAACAACTTCACAGATGAGAATGATAGCCAATTAAGAAAACAGTCTTCCAGCCTGAGCAAGAGGGAGACCCCTATCTCTAGAAATAGCTGGGTGTTGTGGTGGGTGCCTGTGGTCTCAGCTACTTGGAAGGCTAAGGCAAGAGAATTGCTTGGGCCCAGGAGACTGACGTTGCTGTGAGCTGTGAGACCAAGGCTCTCTACCAGGGACAACGAAGTGAGACTCTGTCTCAAAAATATAAATAAAACAAAACAAAATAAATTAGTCTTCTTGTTTCTGAGAGTTGACTGGATTTTTAGATGTAGTTGGCAGATTCTAGAGCTTTTCACCATACAACACCCCTCAACCACACCAAGAGCAAGACCTGGGGACAGGCTTCATCTGCTCTGCTCGACCCTGAGGCAGAGCCTGAAAACACGTGTGCCCTATACCGGGGGTGATTTCCAAACAGCAAAGGGCCATTCACCTGCTAGTTATCAGCACCTGAAAACTCCATAGAGAAAGGATTCAGAAAGTGGGCTCTAGAATTTTTTTTTTTTTTCGTTTTTATATTTTATTGCTTTGAATGCTCAAACTATGGAAAATCTTTGGTAAAAATAAAGACAAAGTTTTCACAATTTTACACAAAGCATTGCACAACAATGTTCTTTAATACACATGAAATAGTATAGGAATGTCCAAAATCCTCAGTGAGGAAATTAACTGTACAATATTCATAGTTCTTCATTTTAAAACAAAGCTATTTTCATAAATATTTAAAATATTTCCTAGGTTCTTATCACATATTAACATTTGTATTCCAATCAATATGTAGCACTTGAAAGTATTTATATTAATTAAATAAAAATCAATAGAAGTTTTTTCCTCTCCTGTTGTCTACTATAGCATCAAGTTCTCCCTCTTCCCCAGTTCTGCTTATTTCACATAAAACTAGAGAAATAACTAAATAAAAATCAATATGGTTCCCAGTCAAACCCTCTGTGAAAAAGAGGAAATGTTTCATGTCTATATTATACAGACATTTCTCTGGTGGTTTATTTGTGCAGTTTCAAACCTGACCAGCTTTAAGTTGATCTAAATGAGATCTCAGCTCAGGACACAGTTCAATTAGCAGCAGTTCCATCAGCACATATAACAGATGCTTATTGGCTCTTCTTTCTTGCAGTGCGTTGAATATTTTTATTATACCATGGCGGGCATTTTGCTGTCCAACAAGGCTCTGAAGCATATCTGGAATGTTTTCGAGTAGCTTCTGCTGTGCTCTCTGTTTGGTTTCCTGACATTGCTCTTGGCTTCTGCTTGCGGTCAGTGGTGCCGTTTTCTCATTTGGCCAAAAAGCATCCCGGAAAACACTGATGTAGTAAACCAACATTTGCTCGCTGAAAATCCAGTTCACTGTGTCTCGGATTTGT